GTGACCAATAGGCAAATACTCTTTGATCTGTCTCAGAAGATGAATTCCTTTAATTAGAGATTTTGCTACTTTGTCAATCTGCTGTTTCCAGGAAAGATGTTCATTCATAACAACCCCAAGTATTTTCTCATTGTTGGTATTCTTTAACTGGACACCGTTAAATTCTACTCGTAGATTTGAATTTAATGTGGCTGCGCGCTGAGATGTTGTTATCATCATTGCCTTCGTTTTACCGTCATTTATTACCATGTTGTTGTTAGTACACCAAGCTTGAACGTTTGTCATATCCTCAGTTAATTTATTATTGAGTTCCTCAACTGTTCTAGCACTTGTATGGATTGTCGAATCATCAGCATACATGTCTGTGTTGGAATTGGCATATAATGGAAGATCATTGACAATAAAGGTCCTAGAATACTTCCTTGGGGGACACCATACAGAGAAGATTTCTTAGATGACAAAGTTCCTTTAAAGTGCACACATTGGTCTCTTTCTTGCAGGTATGACTTAAACCAGGATAATGTCAAATCATCACATTTGTAAACTGCAAGATTTCGTAATAACAAATCTGTATCTACCATGTCGAAAGCTTTGCGTAGATCAATAAATACTGCCCCATTTATGAGGCCGCTCTCCATGTTGGATGTCCACATATCCACAAGTTTGCATAGCGCTGTTTCACACGAGTGATTTCTTCGAAAACCAGATTGGGCATGATGTAATAAGTTATGACTCACGAGAAACTGGTAAAGATGATTGTGAATATGACGCTCGAGAACTTTACTGACAGCGCAGAATATGGCTATGGGCCTGTAGTTGTTGACATCACATTTGGCACCAGATTTGTAGATTGGGATAATTTTTGATGTTTTCCATTTTGTCGGAAACATTCCGGATGATAAACTTTTATTGAAAATCTTAGTCAGAGATGGAGCTATTAAATAGGTTGACATCTTCAAAAACTTGTGACTTAAGCCATCAAGTCCGGTTGCTTTGTGAGTGTCTAAGTTACGTAGATAACTACAAACCTCTTCTTCAGTTAGTTGTGGAATACTAAAGGCATCATCACTATTAATTCTTGAGTTCACCATTTCAGATAGTTTATCAAAGTTACTAGAAAATTGTTGAACACTGCAGCAATAATGCAGCAACTTACCAGCAATGTTTGCCGTCTAATACATATTGACTTCGGCTCTTCCATTTTCCACCAGATAGTGCACACACAATCTGAAATATCGTTTTTAGGATCTGTAGCCTTGTCAGCGAGTGGCTTTCCTTACATTTGCAGTACTGTGAGGGTGGGAAAGCGTATTTTCGCGAGCCATGAATGCTCAATATTTGTTCGCGTAAAATGTGAAATATGCTTGATTTTAGTGTCGTGAAATGTGAGGTGTTCTACAGCCGTGAGGCGTGATAGTTGACAAAAATGCTCCGTGAAATGAGAATTAAGGATGCCTGTTTCGTGAACTGTGATTATTATAGTGTTTATTAAAATATAAATAAACATAATACGCGATAATCAAATTAATGGAGGACAAGGTTCCTGACACTGAGGACAAGGTACGCTGAGGACAAGGTTCGCTCAGGACAAGGTTCGCTCAGGACAAGGTTTCTGATGCTGAGGACAAGGTTCCTGCCGCTGAGGACAAGCTTCCAGCTGGCGCTGAGGACAAGGCCGGTTCGTGGCGCTGAGGACAAACAAGGTTCCTGACGCTGAGGCCAAGGTTCCTGGCGCTAAGGACAAAGTTTCTGGCGCTGAGGACAAAGTTTCAGCTGGCGCTGAGCACAAGGTTCCTGGCGCTGAGGATAAGGTATCTGACGCTGAGGACAATGTTCCTGGCGCTGAGGACAAGGTTCCCGGCGCTGAGGACAAAGTACCTGTCGCTGAGGACAAGGTTCCTGGCGCTGAGGACAAGGTTCCTGGTGCTGAGGACTAGGTTCCTGACGCTGAGGACAAGGTTCCTGACGCTGAGGACAAGGTTCGCTGAGGACAAGGTTCCTGACGCTGAGGACAAGCCTCCCGGCCCTGAGGACAAGGTTCCTGGTGCTGAGGACAAGGTTCCTGGCGCTGAGGACCAGGTTCGCGGCTCTGAGGACAAGGTACCTGTTGCTGAGGACAAGGTTTCTGGCGCTGAGGACAAGGTTCCTGGTGCTGAGGAAAAGGTTCCTGACGCTGAGGACTAGGTTCCTGACACTGAGGACAAGGTTCGCTGAGGACAAGGTTCCTGACGCTGAGGACAAGGTTCCTGCCGCTGAGGACAAGTTTCCTGGCGCTGAGGACAAAGTTCGAGCTGGCGATGAGGACAAGTTTCCTGCCGCTGAGGACAATGTTCCAGCTGGCGATGAGGACAAGGTTCCTGGCGCTGAAGACAAACAAGGTTCCTGACGCTGAGGACGAGGTTCCTGGCGCTGAGGACAAGGTACCTTACGCTGAGTACAAGGTTCATGCTGGCGCTGAGGAGAAGGGTCCTGGCGCTGAGGACAAGATTCGTGACGCTGAGGACAAGGTACGCTGAGGACAAGGTTCCTGACGCTGGGAACAAGGTACCTGACGCTGAGGACAAGGTTCCTGCCGCTGAGGACAAGATTCCTCACGCTGTGGACAATGTTGGCTGAGGATAAGGTTCCTGACGCTGAGGACAAGGTTCCTGCTTGTGAGGACAAGGTTCCTGGCGCTGAGGAGAAACAAGGTTCCTGCCGCAGAGGACAAGGTTCTTGGTGATGAGGACAAGGTACCTGCCGCTGAGGACAAGTTTCCTGCCGCTGATGATGACGACGAGGTTCCTGCTGGCGCTGAGGACAAGGTTCCAGCCGGCGCTGAGGAACTCTTTCGCTTGTGACAGTCATTTATTCTTACGATAACAAGTTTTTTGCTTGTTTGTCTTACCGTTTTAATTCCCTCGGTAGTTTTTAATGGTGATTTAATTGCGAGACTGGCTGGAATTAGATCATTTTCTTTGTATCTGTGATTAAACCATAACTGTTCTTTTATTTTTGCAATTTCTGTTACGCGTCGAATGTATTCTTTTGCAAGATTGGCTGTCTTTCGTCCATACTTTTATAATTCACTGAAGGGCTTGAATCCTGGTTTTTCCATTAATTTAGTTTATTGCACGATCATTCAGATTAATTTTTTTAATTATTTCTGACGTTTCGGCTACCTACACGGCAGCCATTATCAAAGACGTATTACAGTTACAAAAAAATTTTGAGTTATAATAATTTTATCCTGCGTCAAAAATGACGTGCGCGTGTTCGTGATGTTGTTTGCTCGCGCCTGCGTTCAAGGCATGAGAGCCTGCGTTCATGCGTAATTAGTCCAGCGTATGCTCCTGGCATATCGCGGCAAATGTTAATGCTGTTTTCATCGCACTTTGTAAACCAACTTTCTAAAAACATTCTCTCATCCTCAAAACCATCTATCAAAGGTACATTCGAAAGAATTGCAAGAATCCTACGACCTTTCAACATCAGTGTGGCTCACAAACCAACGGTAACGCTAAGAAATACCTTAACGAAAGTGAAAGATCCAGCCAATACAAAGACCCGGATAGGAACAGTTTATAAAGTGACCTGCGCTGAATGCCCCGCAACTTATTTCGGTGAAACTGGACGTACTCTAGATTGTCGCATTAAAGAACATAAGCGATCAACAGAGAAACAAGACGTGGCGAATAGAATTGCGGTTCATCATATGGAAACAAATCATTGAATTGATTGGGAGGGAGCAACTTGTATGGAGTTTAATGGTTTGGAGGATAAGAAAATGTTCTTAGAAAGTTGGTTTACAAAATGCGATGAAAACAGCGTTAACATTTGCCGCGATATGCCAGGAGCATACGCTGGACTAATCACGCATGAACGCAGGCTCTCATGCCTTGAACGCAGGCGCGAGCAAACAACATCACGAACACGCGCACGTCATTTTTTGACGCAGGATAAAATACGTCTTTGATAATGGCTGCCGTGTAGGTAGCCGAAACGCCAGAAATAATTTTAAAAATTAATCTGGATGATTGTACAATAAACTAAATTAATGGAAAAACCTGGATTCAAGCCCTTCAGTGAAGATCAAAACCATCAGAAATTTAACCCAACGACAGAACATTTCCCCAGAATATGAATATCAGTAGCATTTCCCCAGAACTAGTGTCAATACCAAATCGATTGTGTTTGGTCTTCCACGCGCGATAATACTTCAATACTTCACGCGCGATAATACTTCAATACTCCACGCGCGATAATACTTCAATACTTTCCCTCTCATGTCTAATCACAGATATGGCCTTCAATTTAACATTGCAAATAGTAATTTGCACCTTCTCTTGTGTATTCTACTTGCTGGTGATATAGCAACTAATACTGGACCTGCCTGCAGCTCAACATACAGTTGCCCCGTTCAAAATACAGCCTTGTTTGTCATTCAATGCTCGAAGTCTTAAGAGCGTAAACAAACATGAAGATGGATCTACCACAAGCAACCTGAGTATGTTTCAAGATCTTGTCTACTCAGACAATTTTGATATTATAACTGTCACTGAAACATGGCTCAACGACACAATCTCAAATAAAGAAATACTGCCTTGTGGTTACAACATAGATAGATAGATAGATATAGAGACTTTATTTAAAGAGGGTGACACTTAATAGTACGAAGAACTAATGAACTTGTGGCCCTCATAAAATTTACAAAAAATTAGGGAGTATATCTATTGTCTATTTACAACATTTATATATATATATATATATATATATATATATATATATATATATATATATATATATATATATCTATGATTATAAATCGATATTCAGACTTTCAAGTTTACTTAATTAAAAAGGTTATATTACATGAGGTATATATGACATTACATTTATATAAAAGAGAACATTATATAGCTATATTACAATTATATATTACTTAAATTTGAAATCAGGAAAAGAAGTAAATTGTTTAAATTCACTCTGGTGCGTACGGAAGCAATTATATAATAAGTATTTAAAACAGTTAATGGAGCTAGCAGAACGGAAACTTAAAGGTAATTTGTTCCAGAGGCCTATAGCGGTTATAGAAAAAGTTCTTCCTTCCTCTGTAGCTATATTGTATTTCGGAGTTAGTAAACTTAAATCAGCACTGCGAGTGTTCCTCGAATGTTGTTGGCTATTTAAATTTAATAGTCCGTTTAAGTACTCTGGAGTAGCATTAATAGTACGCTTGTAGATCATAATACATTTTCTAATACCCGACTCTACGTAAAAAGGTAACCAACCAAGATTATTAAATAGATTAATCGAAGAATGGCGAGGTTCAGCGTCAAGGATAATTCTGGCGCAGCGTTTTTGAATTTTGAAAATTTTTGTGATATTGTTCTTACTACAGTTTGTCCAGGTTATACTACAATAGAGAAATAGAGGTTTGATCATAGCATTGTAGAAAAGAATACGTTCCTTTCGAGGCAGGTAGGATTTTATAGATTTCAATATTCCAATACGTTTCGATAGTTTCATTGCAATTATATCAACATGAGTGTCAAAGTTTAAATCTTCATCAATATTAAAGCACAGTAATTTCACAGTGTGCTCTTGTTCTAATGAATCATCGTTCAATTTAATATTGAGAGTTTGATTTTCAGGAGTAAGCTTAGCTTTAAGACGTTTACCAGAAATCAGAATGGTTTTGGTCTTAGTGGTATTGAGAGGCAGTTTATTGGTAATGGCCCAGTTTTGAACGTTAGAGACCTCCAGAGATAATTTCTCATTAAGTTCATTAATATCATTATAATCAGTGGCAGCGAGTAAGGTAGTGTCATCAGCGAATAAATCTACTTGGGTGTTGATATGTAGAGGCAAATCGTTGATAAAAACGAGAAACAATAG